GTTAAGGGGCTCGAAGACATGACTTCTGAGGAGAGGCTGAAGGAACCAAGTTTATTTAGTCTGGAGAAGAGAAGACTGAGGGGAGGCAGGGGTTTAATAGCAGCCTTCATCTACCTGAAGGTTGGTTCCAAACAGGACAGAGCTAGACTGTTCTCAGTGTTGGCAGATGACACAACAAGGAGCAATGGTCTTAAGTTTCAGCAAGAGAAGTTTAGGTTAGATATTAGGAAAAATTCTCTCACCAGGAAGGTACTGAAGCACTAGAACACGCTACCTAGAGGGGTTGTGGAATTTCTGTTCTTAGAGGTTTTTAAGACCGAATTAAACAAAGCCTCAGCTGGGGTGATATAATTGGGGATGGTCTTGCTTTGAGCAGGGGTTGGACTAGATAACCTGAGGTCCTTCCAACCCTAATTTTCTATGATTCTATCTATAGGGTATAGTGAATGAGGAGAGGGATTACAGGAAGAGAATGCATGATTTTATGGCTCAAGACAGCAGTTCCCAAACTCTGACAGATTGCACACCACCAATTTAAAACCATACAACCTTAAGTACCACCAGCACATTTTTCAGTTCAACCTTAAGTACCATCAGCAATTTTTTGTCATATAAAGTAATTATAATAAATCTGTTAACGTGCATCACTGACAGGTTGTCTGCGTACCACTGGTGGTACATGTACCACAGATTGGGAACCGCTGTCTTAAGAAATTGAATAATACACTGGAGAAATGGATTCAATACTTGCTCCTGCCAAACAGTTCTTATATGATGGTATTAAACTCTTCCCATGAAAACAGTACAACAGTTGGGTTTACATTTAGCATTTCACTAACTTTTGTGCGCTTGATTCGGCAGTATGAACATATTTTACAAATAACTCTTTGCATACATAATTTATTTACATATAATATATTACACATACTATTTGGGCTCTCTATTAAGTTTATGACACATCCTTTCACATAAAATCCCAACAGTGCACAGGAAAACATGACACTGAGTAACTTGATTCTGCCTAGGACTGCCCACCTTGCACTCCTCTCCCCTTCCAATATTCCCTTGCACAAAACCAGGAACAATGGCTGATGTAGAATCACACCAGTACAAATAAACTTCCTGTTGTCAGCTAACAATGCATAAGCCTCTCTTTTGTTTGTTTGATCAACAACAAAGTAAGTTGCACCTAGTTTTTGCATTTTGTGGTTTGGGTTCATTTTCTGGAAGCCCATTTCCCACTTGATTAGTCCTGTACATAGCCTGGATTTTATTTGCACGATATTCACTGAATTGACTTCTCCTTTGCTTTGTGCTGGGGCAACCTAATTTCCTGGTAGGTCTCTCATCAGAAGGCTTCTTACCAGGACATAGGGTCCAACCCTGTCTTATTTCTGGCAATTGGATATTGCTATTTGGACACTGGCTGGCCTGGGAGAGACACTGGGATGCCGGCAACCAGCTTGGGCAATTGAGATCCAGTGGCAACTGGATCACCTTGCTGAACTGATCAAAGATGCTGAGTCCTGAGCCCATGGGCAGATCCAGCTCAAGGAGCCGCATAATCTGGGCTGTGGAGCTCCTCACGGCTCTGGAAATTTGGCAGTGGGAGAGAAGTGGCGATTAACACTCTCACCTACTCTCTCATTGCCAAATTTCCATGCCCCACACAGCTGCATGGGGCCAGCAGGGCTAGTGCCCAATGCTGCCCTGTGGCTGCAGCGACCATCCCTATGCTGTGGCGTTAGCCCCTATCCCTGCATGGCTGGATCAGGCCTTTTCTGTGTGGTTGGATCAGGCTCACAGGTTGTTGTTTTCTGTAAAACTTTTCTTATTCCAGGTCAAATTAGCAGTTCTGAATCCTCTCAATGGAGCAACACCCAATGGTTCAAACACCATATGTGGTGCTACAACCAGCAAGTATCCTTTACTGCAGACTTTTCAGCCCTGGACCTCTGACACTCCCAAATCCATTGGCAGGCATCCTCCATGCAGGCCCAAGCCCAGAGACTTGTGGTTTGGATGCCCTCAGGTCACTTAGCCAAAGGCCACAGGAGCAAGCCAGGGAGGAGTCCCCCACTTCCATAAAGTAGGGTGTAGCCCGGATCCTCCCAATGGCGCTGTCCCGTGGGAAGCTAATTACAAGAGTGGTGGGGCGTCCGGGCCGCAGCGCACTGGCGGGCTTCACCGTCCACTACTCAATGCCATTTACGTCCGTCTCCTCGGAGCAACGCACCCCTGCAACAACTACTCTCGGTCTTGACCCACAGGAGGCCAGGAGCGAGCAGCCCCGCGCTGCTCCTTCAGGGCCCTGAGCGAAGCGGCCCAGGGCAAACCACAGAGATGAACCAGCAGAGGAAGCGATCTTCGTCACTTCTGCAGCGCGGCGGGTCGGGCGGCGCGCGGGCTGCGCCCGAGAGCGCACGTGGCGCCCGACCCCTCTAGCACTGCCCACCTGTCGTATATTAGCATAACCCCGCCCCCTGGCGCGGAGCCGCCCAATGGGGGCGGCGGGGGCGTGTCCGGGGCGGAGGGGTGCGGAGGGCCCGCGGCAGCTGTGCGGATGCTGCTCCCGCCCGGGCGGCCCCTCGCAGGTCGGTAAGCGCCGCGGGGTGCAGCG